TTGCTGGCTGTAGCAGCGCTATAGCGCTGCTATAGCGCTGCACAGCAAAAACGCATAAAAAACTGAGAAGTTGAAATTATGCAACGATATTCTACATCCACCTGTGGCTTAAATTTAGCTTGGAGACTAAATTTCTTGCTTACAGACATGACAAATACTCTACTCTACTGCAGCTTCAAAAGTGACTGCATTTTGTGGATTTCTTAATCGTTCTTTCTCAACACCGTGTTCATTGTCAAATTTGCACTTTTCGTTGAACAGCCGGTCAACGTAAACTACTCATTTCTCTTCGTGTAAAACACTAATCACGCATGCTGAAAGTCCATGCAGCCTCATGATGCAACATTATCATCCTAGTCGACGCTCTTTTCCTCCTACATGCAAGATAAGACGAATCAGTTGAAGGTGCGTAATCTAAACTGCGTATGTAATAAAAAGCCGCATAACCGAATGTGTAATAAAAAACAACGCATACCACGTTGCAGCGGCTTTCCGTCTTTCAACCACGTAATCAGCGGTAAAGGGTTTCCTTTCGCCGGACATTTCAACTGTAGCGTACCGCCGACTGTAATCCGTACCGGATTTAACATCCAGCTCCTTATTTCTGTTTCGTTTTTCCAAACTGGTGGAGATGCTGCAAAATTTACTCACAAGAGTCCCGCTGTCACAGAGGCACACCTTTAAAAATACCAAAGTCTTAAGTAGTAGAGCAAGGCATCACTTCCGGTGTTGGCTAAATTTTACCTCATTACGGTATCAGTCTACTTGTGCTTATCAGCTGGCGATACAGTTAGCTTCTTTATCAAAGAGCCACACGACTAACTACTTTTTTCCAAGTAACCAATAACAAAATTCTTCTATTTTGAAAACGCGCTATTGCTGAAAAATGGTATTCTATCTATAAGAATAGCAAAGTAAAAATTACAAAGCTCAAAATTTACAGATAACATCTCCGTGCAAGTGTAGATCAGAAAATCAACAGTTTATTTTCGTGTCTTGACCTATAATTTGAGCTCCGAGTATGATTTGATATTGGACTTCAATAAACGGAAAATTACAAATGAAAAATCAAGTTCTTGAAACATCATGAAATACTAAATAACCTGTATCTGATTTTCAAAGAATGGTGTATTCGACCTATAGCCTAAAAAAAATTCAGGATAATTTCAGGGTTCCAGAGCAAAGCAAGCTCGGAGCCCAAAATTTCTTGCTTTCGTTTATTGTCATGTAGGTGACGGACCAGAGCCGTACTTTACTATGTTCTCACGTTTGAAGAGTTACTGACTTGCAAATTCTAAAGTGCGGAAAGCTAAAGAGTTTAATCTTAACGTATTATACGTCCCGGATGAGAGGAAAGATCATCACAGCAAAGTGCAAACATTTGCTTGGCTACTTTCCACACCGACTCAGCATGCCATTGCCCCGTCCACCTTTACTTTTAGTCCAGCTCCCCAGAAAAACTCTTTGCAATACGCGCGGTGTGCGTCTCTATATGATGTTACTGGAGTAGGTAATGCAGTGGTTACCATTGCCTGTTAATGTAATAGTGCTGTCAGCGCTGTCATCGTTTTCCACAGCGGGATCGTAGAAAGATACTGTGAAGTTAAGTTCCCGATGTCCGAATCCATTGACCGCTTGGCACTGGTAGGTCCCACTATCCGTTAATTGTGGATTGCGAATTTTCAGCTCTCGATCCATTCGAGCTAACTTGTATTGACTGTTGAATTCGAAGCCAATCTGCAAATTCATCCAGCGTAGCTACATCAAAATAGCTGTGCAGCTGAACTGAAAACGGGCATTGTTCCACTGTGGCATTTCATAGAAGCAGGGGCAACTAAGGGGAAAGGGAGGGAGAGGGGGGGGGGGGGGGGGGGGGGGGGGGGGG